TATGGCGCTCAACACCGACCATCTTCTACATCTCGACAACGGGCTTCGCCATCTCCTGGTCGACCTCGGCCAACTCTTTTCTCGATACTGCTTAGTCCCAAGTACTGAGACGGATTTCGACCCATACAGTGCTCACTCAAGACATCAACAACATTAGATTTATATCATATGTAGCTAAACAGCTAAATTCTTAAAGATCTTGCCTGCCTATCTGTTCATGGTTTTTAAAGTGGTCACGCGAATAGTGAACTCGCATTACACTGATGATAAGCATAGAAAACTTGGAAAATGACCCCCCGGTATATGAAAACATCAGCTGACTCAATAATCATGATAAAGATGGAAATAATGTCACATACTCCAAGTATTATCTTGTCACAAAAATACACACTTGGGTTCAAAATCAACGTCAGCATAGCCAAAATATCCAATGAAACATATAATGCAAAATCCCTTGTTGTACAGGTATGCCCCCTAGAAGTTGACTGCTATATTCAAGAGAAAAGTTACAAAACAAATAAATCCCATGTACGTTAGGTAACGGGAAGTGACAAGAATTCAAGGAGCTGGGAAAGAGCCATTGTACCAATTCTCAGGCAAACCTTCAGCTGAAACAATAGGTATCCGGTATTTCAATACAATGACTTCCAGAATGCCGTCCGATCTAAAACGTGGGGAACATAATCTGGGATCAACAGGTCCTGGCAAATTAAACGATACGGTAAAAGGCCCAGGAGGAGAAAGCTGCTGAACTTTCATCTCATAATCCTTGGATGAGTTTTTCAAGGCATCACTCTCTGTAACAACACCCTCTATCCGGACTCTCCCTTCTCTCTGTATGTCACATTTTATATTACCTGTATGGTATACACATCAATTGACTATTAGATTCCACCTCTTAAAAGTTACCGGTATTTAAGTAAATATGATCCTCTTACACCAAAAATTTTTGAACAGTATTTATTGCACCAAAACCTAATGTTCAATCATTTACTAGGCATAGCCAGTGTTCACTATACAGGAGTTTACATAATCAACCCCAATTACTGAGATGTACCTGAACTGATTAGCTACTATTCGTAACACATTCTTATATTCCAATTTCAAGGAATGACACATTTCAGAATCACATTATTATGATCAAAGAATTCAACCTCATTGTCTATGCTGAAGCTTAACTCTGAGGGTCATAAGGTAATTTCAGGTTAATGATGAGATTACTAAGTAAGCCTATGCATAAACGCAGTCACTGTTGCCTCCATTTGTTATACCCACTCTAGAAAATAAACAATACAGAGGTTTATTTAAAAGTACTTACATTTATTTCTTACACCAGGAAGCGCAACACGAAAAAGATACGCATTTTCACTATTGCCTATGTCAACCACACCAAGTGATGGTCCAATTGCACATTTTTCAGCAGTCCCAGTCAGAGTGACAATTGGTTTGGAATGATTAGACTTAGCACATTCTTCTGAGTTCATGCTTACAGTTGTGTCAAGAAAGTTACCTCCCTGCAGATTGTAAGATAGCGAATTTAGCTTCAGGGAGAAAAGTGTGAGGTAATAAATTCATGCTTATAGATGAGTCAAGCAAGATAGCTTCCTGCAGGCTATAAATCAGAGATTTAGCCTCAACGGATAAGTGCACAGAGAATTTGCCTGCTGAAGCAGTTTCATATTTATTGAACCCCTCATTTTGTAAGATTGAATTTGTAGATAAAGACGAGAAGAGTGTGATTTTGAGTCTTTAACCCCAATCAATAAATCAATCAAGTAAGCCTCAACCCAAAACTTAGTTGGAGTTGGTTATATGAATCCTTCGTATCCATTCCACTGTATTCATGTTCATTTCACTCTATTGCTAAATATTTTGCATTTAAGGAAAATTAGTAGTATGATTCGAATCACACTTATCTTACACGAACATACAAAATCAGTAACCAAAATAAAGACTCCTGACGAACGTTGAATGAAATTTAATGAAGCCTGCTACTAAAATTTTGCAGGACTCAGCCTCCCTTACCCTTTCCAGTCTACAAATGTTCTACACACATCAACGAAGTCAGCAGCAAAACAAGCCCCGGGGTCCTTTACAGATAACATCAATCCAAAAGTCCAGGTTTACATGTAAATACACCCTAAGGATGCTATGAGTCTAATAGGTCAGTTGATTTATTTACTCCAGAAAAGGTTCCTATACCTCAATGAGCGAATGTCCACTGGCTTTCCGTAAAGACTCGAGTGAAGTGCTTCAAACCAAAGATACATGAAATGACATAGAGAAACTTCCTACAGCTGAACCATCATAATCATGAAGAGTGAGCCATAGTAAGCAGAAACTGGACATTTCACATTTAGCTTAGTTTAAAAGCATCTGCCGCCTACTTGAAGACAGCAGATTTCTTCCACAAGTCATGAAAATACAAACAGGCCACACAAAATGACAGGAAACTCACTGTTCTAACTATTTGACATTCAAACACGCTGCACCCAAACAATTGGGGTTAATTTTCCCCCATTTTGCCCATTCGCTTATGATTAGGACTGCTATAGATCAGAAGACGATTGATCGAACTCGACATGTTACAGAACAACAGTCATGAAAGACGGGATTTTTAAGCTAACATCATATAACTAAAACAGTAGGTGCAAAGTAGCACTACACCCACTATAAGAGGACGAATTTTAGTAGGAACATATATTTTTAAGAACTTTTAACTATATAAGTAGAGCTCAAGTGAATGCAGTAGCTGTGTTCATACTCCTGCCAAATGCTATATCCGATCATTTAGCCAGCACAAAAAGATTTACTATACAAGAACAACGTTACATCTGATTCAAAGGAACAAACATTGTCCACCAAAGAATCAACTCAAAAAAGACAAACTGATAGCTTTATAAAATCACAAAAAATAAACCCTAGCAAGGGAAAATTTTTAAATGACTATAGTTGTTCTACAATACTTTGCAAAGACAAAGTGAAAAAAAATGAAGCAAATTTACCCTCACTGTATCGCTTTACTGTTCTTTTCTTAAGGAGATCCCGTAGCTGAAATTTGAACAAGGCAAGTTCAGCTTCAGCAAATTGATCTTTTTTCTACTGATTTTTAGTTTATTTTATATGAAATTAAATGTGGCTGGCGGGCTAGTTCGGCCCAAGCACCGGACTGGACTGGCTCGAGGACTTGGCCCAACACGACATATATGATAATATATTAATTATATTTTTATTTTCAGTATTTATATGAAAATGGGTTTTAAAATGGTGTGCATATGGTTTTTACATCATGTATATGGTTGTGGTAAATTATTCAGGATGATTCGCTCGGTGCAAGTAGAGTGTTGAGAGATAGTCAAAATCTTAATTTTGTAGAAGAAATATCACATATTTGAATACAATATTAAATATATAATATGCAAATTACATAGATTTATTAAATTTGTCTTGAACCAAGTTGAATATGACTAATCTTTATTTTTGAAGTTTATTGGTAAATTTTGAAAATTAATCAGACTTTTAATTAAGATGGATGGAGGAGTACATGAATTTATTTAAGATTCGCTTTAAGCGTCTAAAACAAACCGCAATGTTTTCCTTGGTGATTATCAAAGAAGGATTTAACCTTTTGTTACGTTGCAGCTATCGAATATTTCTAGCTAGGTAAAATCATGGCAGTTAATTTAATTTGGTAGATTTGTTGATTTCAACTCTTTTCCTTCTTCCTTTGAGGAAATGGCTCATCATGCAAAGATCTCTTGTTATCGCTAACATGCATTTATATTTGTCACTAATTTCATGTGCATATCATTTTCTCTTTTCCTAAGAAATCAAAGAAAGACCATCTCTCTGAAGAGTTTTCTGCAGCATTATACTTGTCTGGTTTTTTTATTATTTCACCTGCTTAACAGATTTTCAAAATTAATTAGCTTCGTTATTCACAATTAGCATTTAGCTATTGGACAAACTGCCAACTTTTAGATATAGAACTTCAAAATAATAGGGTAGTGAATGTGAATTGATCATAGTTAGAAGGTAAGAGACTTGGTCCTGCATCCTAAATAGGAGCTTTCTTAATGCCCACCTCAGTCGCTAGCTTTAGAATGTAGTTCTATAGACTTCTCCAAAAAGAAATTCACGCATAACGAGTAGATTCCTCTCACCTAAGAAATGAAAGGAGACACTTCACCGAATGATAAATAAAATATTGAACGTTAATTCAGTAAACAATCCCTTAGCTCAAATCCTTCGAGATACCTAAGGCAGCTCCTCGTGTCCTTTATACCCAATATGACAAGAGTATACAAGTCCGCTAGAGGCGAATAAGAGCTCGTTGAACGTTAGCCTAGTAATTATGCTACTTGTTTCTAAGAGGAGACTGTGACTTGCATGAGGGTAACTATAAGAAACAAAGAAAGGAAGATAGAAAAAGGAACTACTTTTATTACATCTAGAACATACCAATTATCATGTTGCTGTAGCAGTGCCGAAACTAAAAAATTCAATAAGGGTGTTCAAAATCCTTTGCCAGTGGGCTTTACAAGGGTGTTCAAAGTCTAGTTTTTTTTATCAAGAACAAGTAATATTTTACCTTATACACGGTATAATTTTTCTGCAAAAAGTGTTCAGTTGACCACCCATAGCCACATATAGCTTCGCCCCTCTGCTGTAGAGTCCAGAATTCTAGTACAGTGATATCCTATTGCTTGAGCTTTGTATCAGCTTTTCTGTTTACCGAGTGTATTAATTACTAGCTCTAATTTTTGTTGATTTCTACCTCAATTAAACTTACCAAAAGAGTTCAGAACTAAGTAAAATTATGTAAAATGCAACTGGTAGTCTCGTCTAAGAAAGTTGCATTTATGAAAGAAAAAAAGATACAGATAAAGTTTGATCAGTTTGGTAATAACTGGTACAATTCCAGAACAGGAAGTTGGTTTTAATTAAGAATACAAGCTAACCATGTCGAACTAATCAGACGAGTGAGGCTGATAATCGTTCTAATGAGCCTTACACATCCCATCTTTAAGCACAACTCCTTCGATAACACCATCTGAGTTTAGCTTGGCTGTTGCAAAGTTGGTATCACAAGGTCCTGGTAAAGTGAAAGTGATAGTGAAGTGACCTGGAGGAGTTACCCTTCGCGCTCTTCTATTGAATGAAACTGGTGCCCAAGTGCTTGTTACTACACCAGCATTTACTCTCCCCTCTACCTCCACTTCCCCATTAAACAGAATATCAACTGACACATCACCTGCGAATACAATTGTTCACTTAGTCGTTTCTCTTCAATCTTTTAACAAGATTTTCAGCAATATGACTATCAGTTTTCAAATGCATACAAATTCCTCAAGTAAGAGTCAGTATAAATTTTTTGATAAACATTCTTTGTACTATTTGTAGTTGATAAAGAATTAGCTTTGGCTACACCGTGGATTGGCTGATGGTAGGGAAGGCTAGGCTAAGCAAGCACAGATTCCCTAGAAAAAAAGTTTTTCTCTCTTGGGAATCCGAACTAACTTTGTGTTTTTTAGAAGTTTAAGCTTGTGTTTTGATTCCTCTCAATGAAAAAATGGGATTTGAGAGGACGATCTGGTTCCAAATCAGCTGTTCATTCAATACTACTACAGTCAGAGCATGCATTTGTCGAACAGCAGAAGTGCTTTTTCCGTCGTGGGATCTAACCTAGTTTTATAAGCAAGCACATGCAGATCTTCCCAAGAAGGACTTGAAACTAAAAAGGGGGAAAAAGGAAGCAAAACTGTCAAAACAGTTTCTTAGTAATTTCTTTCTAGCTGTTTATGCTGACTTAAGTTCTCAAACTATTGCTCAGCTCGGCACATACTAAAAGTAGATGTTTTTAGTGTGTTATATATAGAAGGAAATGAACTTACACATGTTTCTCGTGACAGCCGGTAGGATCACCTTAAACTTGTATGAATATTCACTAATGCTGACAGTCACTGGATCAGTAGGAACTCCTGGTCTCCCCTCTATGGCTGCTCCAGTTTGTACGACATCATCTGGTTGGTATGAAAAGGGATATTCTATATACATATTCAAGTACTCAGACATATTCTCAGTGTTTCCCTAGAAACTTTCTTCCTGCAGATTGTAAAACTCAAGGGTATTAAGACTGTGCATAGCTTGCAATACTGGAAATTAGGAAGGAACCCAAAAGAGTAACTTCATATCTGTGTGATTTGGTCAAAAGAAAAGAAGAAAAAAGGATAGGCCCATGACACTATGAGCCATAGCATCTAAATAACATCAGTATACTCGATATCTTAGGCATGTTATGGGTTAACATGGCTGTTAGAAGAATCAATGGCAGACCTACTTAGGGACCAATGGTACATTGTTTTTGGCCCAAGCACTATATTTTCATATCGGAAACTAGTATTAGCATACAAATACATTGATCAAGCACCTCTTCTGTGATTAGTAGCAACTCAGTAATCTAGATTAAAGGCAGATGAACACCGATAATTTAGAAACTCCGGTCGGGCACTGAGAAGAATAGGAATACATGGAATTGAAAAGTAAATGCCGAGGTAAAACTTTCATAAGAATCAGGATATATGAACATTCAAATTTGTAATCAAACTCCTCATCAGAATATAAAAAACATGGAATGAATGCAAGAAAACTCCTCACTGAAAGCCAGGAACATAGATAACGTCAAAAGACCAACTTTGAATGCATATATACATACAGTAAAGAAGGTCCAGGTACTTGTTAACCTACTGTAAGCACAGAATTTTACAGGAAAGAAGTAAATGTCATTTTTGCATACTTACAGAATTTTATCTCTTGCTCTGCAAAAATGGTAAAACACAAAGCTTAGTAAAGCAATGAATCAGTTTACAGGAATTCATAGAGGGTTCTGCCGAGCAAAAGGAGATGAGAATGAATTAGGGATTGTGGGAATTCAGTGAGGATTCTCTCTTACAAGGAATTGGTAACAGATTTATGTCAAGTGACTAGTCTTTTTTATTTTTCAATTTAACAGTATTTGTGCGTTGTTGTCACAAGGAAAGCAGCCATTAGCATTTGAACCAAACTAAGCAGCATTTGTCGCAGGAACATGAGATCTAAATCGCAATCAATCAAAGTGGATTTACGTGCTAATGAATCGTAATCTCATGCTTACAGACAACTTAATGCAGAACTAATCGTAATTGAAGTGGATTTATGTACTAATGAATCGTAATGGCTTGTACCAGCGGAATCTCTTGTAGATTTTACATTGACTGTCAAATAATGACAACTAAATGAAGCAATCTGTGCAGATATAGACACATAAAACCGTGCTTCCGAAGATATAGATCCGAGGAAAGAAACATGTGATGCACAACTAATTTATCTTTTTTTCTGCTTATATCCAAACTTCGAGTTACCCTTATTTTAAGACAAAAGCGCAAGTAGATTTCACAACCCCACACATTTTCCTCTTAAAATTTGCGTTACCCTAGAGCCCTCTTCTCCAATGGGAGTACTTATCATGCATATATATATCTATGCAAAGAAACAGATCATCGTATAAGAAAGCAAAAGGAAAAAGGAAAAAATTAAAACAAAAAAGAAAACAAATGCAGGTAGAATGAAGCACAAGGTAGAATGAAGCACAAGGTAGAATAAAGCAAAATCTAGTCAGGTGAATGAAGCACAAAGTTCCCATGCTTATAATTTTTATACTTCTGTAGGTTGCAGGTCACGGTAAGAAAACAGGCGATAAGAAATTAATGTGATCAATCGCCAAAGACAAGTAAAGAATTCAGCTTTTTTCATGGCTAAGATGTAAGGAAATGTAGCTGATATCCAAAAGAATGAACCCTAGGCCAAAATGCTATACAAAGAGTGTTAAATGCCAAATAAATAGCAAAGCAACAGATCTTCGGATAAGAATCCAGAAAGGAAAAATTAAAATAAAAAAGGAAAACAGAAGAAAGGCAAAACCTAGTCAGGTGAATAAAACACAAAGTTCTTCATGCTTATACTTTTTATACTTCTCTTTGCAGGTTGCAGGTGATGGTAAGCAAACAGCCGACAAGAAATTAATGTGATCGCTTGTCAGAGACGAGTTAAAAAATTCAGCTTCTTCAGCATGTCTAAAATGCAAGGAATGATAAATGATATCATTAGAAATGAACCCTAGACCAAGTAACAAGAGAACAAAAAATTATATCGAAAATCAAATCCTAAAAATCTCCAAAAATTAGCATGCCTTCACTGTTGCTTGGAGATGATAGCAAAGAAACAGATCATGATCGGATTCGAAATCAAAAAACAAAAATGCAGGTGAGAATGAAGCAGAAGATAGAGTTAAGTAAATTAAAACCAAATCAGTTGAAGTAGAAAGAGCAGAATTTACCTTGTTGAATTCACTGAAAGAAGAGCAGGGAATGAGGGCTGAACAGTCAAGTGAGAGTGCTATTAAAGCATGGGAAAGCAGGTGTTCCAGCAAGGACTGACGTTTCAAATTAACCTTGAAGTGCCACATTTGAATAAAACAGACACATATCTCTACCGCCATTTGGCTGTTTGAATCCGTTGAATATCTTTGGTTGGACATGAGATGAAACCACTAATGCCATTACTACTTTTCTAGGTAAACCAAATACTTGTTAGTAGTACTCATTAAATGCATCTTTCCATTTCCAAATACTGCATATCTGCTTCATACGCTCCCATCTCTTCCAAGAAATATATGAACAGAATTATACTTCTATTTCAAGTTTAAATCTTTTCATGTTATTCATTTTAGTGTGAGCGTCATATCTCTTTTTAGTTTATTTTCTTCTAATGGAAACCTGAAGAAGACAGCCCCCTCCCTCAGAACAAATCCAGAAGCTATCTTGGACAATATAATATGCTTTTTCAAGTAATTTTTTCTTCAGAAAATTAGGTTTTAATCATGGAAATTACACCTCGTAAGTGGATTATTTCTTCAGTTTCCTCGTTTTTCAGTGCCAGTGCAGTAAATATGCTGTTTTTATAATCCAATACGAAGTAGGGAATCATTTGAACTGCAGTTAACTGTATTTACATGGTGAAACATGTCATTATCTGAACCATACAACAACCTACAAGTTAGTACATACAGCACATTAGTCAGCACTAATCCATATTAAGGAACTTACATGTCATTATCTGAACCATACAACAACCTACAAGTTAGTACATACAGCACATTAGTCAGCACTAATCCATATTAAGGAACTTACATGTCATTATCTGAACCATACAACAACCTACAAGTTAGTACATACAGCACATTAGTCAGCACTAATCCATATTAAGGAACTTCAGTGAAACAGCTTTCTGTGGTGGATTCTGGCTTCAATGATTATCTACACATTGCCAGCTACATTTCGTATTTCACAACAACAGCTTCAAAAATGCCATCAGATCTGAAGTTTGGTGAAAACAACCTAGGATCGACAGGCCCGGGCAAACTAAAGGAGACAGTGAAAGGTCCAGATGAGCATTGTTGCTGAATTTTCATATCAAAGACCCGAGAATATCTTGAGACAATTCTTCCACCAGTTGACGTCAATCCTCGAATAAGGACCTTACCATCTTTTTCTATCTCACAGCTGAACTCACCTGCAACAAGAGGTTAAAGAATTCATTAGCAACAATGATAAGATACCCCTTAATTAGGAAAGTTGCTGAAAATGGTAAAATGAGAAAACAGGCTGTCTCAATAGGGAATGCAAGAAATAAAAGGGCATTCTGATGCCAGGTTCACTTCTCTGCCTACTTGAATATCTGTATTCAGAACTTCTTGGAAGTACGCCAAGAACTCCTGTGTACCGCCCAATATCACTTTTTAATTGATAGACTGATTTCTATTGTAATGATTCTGTCTTAACTATTGGACAATGACTACTTGGACAATGAATTCCACGCAGAGAAGTCTGATGTACTAGAATTACTATCAGGCTAACAGTTTCTTCTATGATAATGTCATGGTTGCTGGACGTCAAAATTAAAACTATATAAAGATCTCCACCTAATTATTACCTAACTATTTCTTTCTCAAATATACATCACGCGGGAACATTACAAACTTAATACTTGTTGCATAATGAACGTAGACATATTCTGTTACTTAATGAATGTAGACATACTCTTATGTAATGTACATAGCAGAATTATAGGAATTCACAACAAATCTATAGGATTTCCTTTTTGATTCTTTCTATAGTTAGGGCTCTATGTACTTGTATATATACTTGTTACCTCTTGACATAATATACATTGAAATTGCTCAATCCTCTATCTATTTTACATGGTATCAAAGCGGGTTCTCCGGCTTTACCGGAGTTAGATAGAGAACTTACCGGAACTGTCAGTTAGGGTCAGAATACTTTTGAAGGGTTTGGAACTTGAAGTTTAACCATCCCTACCAACCTAGCAAGGACCGCCTACCCAGATCTGCATAACCCCAGAATCCGGTGGTCGGAGTAGGCACGAGTGGATCTCACGCGCCGACGAAGCATTTCCGACGCAGTTTATAGAAGTAGCGCGTGGAGGCGTATGGGTTATCGGAATCAAGTGCAGCTTGGTTCTCCGGCATCGACTTCACATTTTCGTCCAGCTTATGGTGTTTGTTTGTTTAGCAAACCTCGGTCGGGAAAATCTCTGACCGTCCCAAGTTCAGTTCATAGTGTCGAGGTTTTGTCACCTTTTCTCTGTTGTGTTCAAATTTTGTTTCCTTCTGTGATTGCCTGATCCTTAGTAGTGAACCAACTTTGTGTGTGGAACTTTGGCCCTTTTTTTTATAGCTTTGAGATTAATCTGTTGGTTAGTGATTCTTGGTTACTGATTCTTACCACTATTGGCCGGACTTTTGACTGGTTATTGCCCATTGGATTGGCTCTATTGGAGTTCTGTTTCTTTGTTTCATTGAGTGTCTTTTGTTCGTTGTTTCGTTGGATAGTGTTATTCTGGTGGAGAACTTTTGAGCCTTATTGGCTTTTCTCACATTTATATTGATACTTTGGGGATTTTTTGGAAAGATGACCATAAATAGTAAGCAGGGAGGAAAAAATACTACAGCTCCTAGCCCAACAATTTTGGTTTCGGATGAGTTTCTAAAATTTCTTCAATATCAGAATTCAATTAAGGAATCTTATTCAGTTACTGCTTTTGCTGGGTTAGATAAAACATGTCTTATCACCTCTTCAAATAAATGGGTGATTGATTCAGGTGCCACAAATTACATGATAGGTAATCCAAATATTTTTTCTAGCTTTCGGTCACACAAAGCACCCTCTTTAGTTTCTGTAGCTGATGGATCAACTTGTAACAGTGTTGGATCTGGAACTGTTAAACCAACTTCCTCTATTACCTTGTCATCTGTATTAAGTCTACCAAACTTGGCCTTTAATTTGATTTCTGTTAGTAAAATCACCAGAGACCTTAATTGTTGTGTCGCGTTCTTTCCCGATCATTGTTTGTTTCTGGATCTTGCAACGAAATAGGTTATTGGTAAAGGATATCTATCTAGTGATCTCTACATTCTTGATGAATGGGAGCCACGGTCTATTGCATGTTCCAGTGTCGTGTCTCCTTTTGAAGCACATTGTCGATTAGGACATCCCTCTCTACCTCTGTTGAAGAAGCTCTGTCCTCAGTTTCAGAATATTTCTTCATTGGATTGTGAGTCATGTCGATTTGCAAAACACCATCGCATCTTGTTAGGTCCAAGGGTAAATAAGCGAGTTGAATCAGCTTTTGAGTTAGTTCATTCTGATGTTTGGGGACCATGTCCTGTTGTTTCCAAAATTGGGCATAAGTATTTTGTCACTTTTGTAGATGATTTTTCTCGAATGACTTGGATTTATTTTATGAAGAGTCGTTCTGAAGTATTTACTCACTTTTCTACCGTCTGCACTAAAGTCAAAACTCAATTCAATGCTTCGGAGTTCGGTGTGTATTCTAAGGAGTGATAATACACCTCCACCCACGACCGTTAGGTCTTGGGTTCGAGTCACGCTGGAGGGGAAGTATGAAAACACTATAGATCCTCCTATTTAAAGAAGAAAAAAAAAGGAGTGATAATGCTAAAGAATACATGTCAGAGTTATTTCAGTCCTACATGAGACAGCATGGTATATTACATTAGTCTTGATGTGTTGATACACCCTCTCAAAATGGAGTTGCTGAGAGGAAGAATAGGCATCTACTTGAGACAGCTCGGGCACTTTTGTTCCAAATGAAGGTTCCTAAACAATTCCTACGGCTTGTTTTTTGATTAATTGCATGGCATCTACTGTGCTTGGTGGTAATGTTCCTTATAGTATTCTTTTTCCAAACAAATCATTATTTTCGGTGGAACCTAAAGTGTTTGGATGCACATGTTATGTTCGAGATGTTCGACCATCTGTTACCAAGTTGGATCCCAAGGCATTGAAGTGTTTTTTTTGGGGCTATTCTCGCCTTCACAAGGGGTTTCGATGTTATTCTACTGAACTTGGCAAATATTTGGTGTCAACTGATGTGGTATTTTCAGAAACTACACCATTTTTCTATGCACCTCCTATTTCTACTAATCAGGGGGAGGAAGACGAGTGGCTAATATATCAGGTTACCCGTGCTTTAACAGAACAACCAGATGATGTTCCTCCAGCTCCTAGTTCTTCTACTGAACACCAATCAACTAGTGTACCTTTAGCACCTGCTCCAATTGTGTTAGCAAGACCGCCAATTGTTCAAGTTTACTCGCGGAGGCGAGAGACAAATGAGACATGTCCTGCAACAATTCCTTCATCATCATATCCTCATCCGCCTAGTCCTCCAGAAGACCTTGACCTTCCTATTGCTCTTCGCAAAGGTATACGTACTTGCAAATCCACATATTCCATTGCCAATTTTGTTTCCTATGACCGCTTATCCTCTGCGTCTAGATCTATGATTGCTTCTCTAGACTCCATCTCGATACCCATAACAGTGAAGGAGACTTTGAATCATCCTGGGTGGTCTGATGCAATACTTGAGGAAATATATGCCTTAGAGGAGAACCAGACATGGGATTTGGTGGATTTACCCAAAGGAAAGAAACCTGTGGGATGTAAGTGGGTCTTCACAGTTAAAGTTAATCCAGATGGTTTTGTGGCAAGACTTAAGGCTAGACTAGTGGCTAAAAGGTATGCTCAAACTTATGGGGTGGATTATTCTGACACCTTCTCCCCGGTTGCCAAACTCACTTCTGTCCGCTTATTTATTTCTTTAGTTGCTTTCGAAAATTGGCCTTTACATCAGTTAGATATCAAGAATGCGTTCCTTCATGGTAACCTTCAGGAAGAAGTGTATATGGAGCAACCACCCGGTTTTGTTGCTGGGGAGTATGGGAAAGTGTGTCATTTGAAGAAGTCCTTGTATGGCTTGAAGCAGAGTCCTAGAGCTTGGTTTGGCAAGTTCAGTGAAGTAGTTCGGGAATTTGGGCTGAAAATGAGCAAGTGTGATCACTCAATCTTCTATCGGCAATCAGCAGCTGGCACTATTCTCCTCGTTGTGTATGTTGATGACATTGTTATCACAGGAAGTGACTATGCGGGGATCTCTTCCCTCAAGTCTTTCTTGCATACTAAGTTTCATACAAAGGACTTGGGCATGTTGAAATATTTTTTAGGAGTAGAAGTAAATAGAAGCAAGAAGGGAATTCTTTTGTCTCAGAGAAAGTATATTCTTGACTTGCTTGCAGAAACTGGAAAGTTGGCAGCTAAACCCTGCAGCACTCCAATGATTCCTGATGTACATCTTATGAAAGATGATAGCGAGCCTTTTAATGATCCAGAGAGATACAGGAGGTTAGTTGGAAAATTAAACTACCTCACTGTGACTCGTCCAGATATTGTTTTTGCAGTAAGTGTTGTTAGCCAGTTCATGTCTGCACTAACGGTCAAACATTGGGCAGCTTTGGAACAGATTTTATGTTACTTGAAAGGAGCTCCTGGACTAGGCATATTATATAGCAATCACGGCCATACTCGTATTGAGTGTTTTGCAGATGCGGACTAGGCTGGATCCAAAGTTGATAGAAGATCAACTACAGGGTATTGTGTCTTTGTTGGAGGGAACTTGGTATCGTGGAGGAGTAAGAAGCAAAGTGTTGCATCTCGATCCAGTGCAGAATTCGAGTACTGATCTATGTCACAGTCTACGTGTGAAAGTATGTGGATACATCATCTTTTGACTGAAATTGGGTTGGAGCATCCAATACCAGCAAAACTTTGGTGTGACAATCAAGCTGCCCTCCATATTGCGTCAAATCCGGTATATCATGAAAGAACTAAGCATATCGAGGTCGACTGCCATTTCATTCGTGAAAAGATTTAGGAGAACTTGATCTCCATTGGCTACGTGAAGACAGGAGAGCAACCAGTTGATTTGTTCACAAAGGCGTTGAAGGGAATTCGAGTTGATTATCTTCGTAACAAGCTGGGCATGATCAATATCTATGTTCCAGCTTGAGGGGGAGTGTTGCATAATGAACGTAGACATATTCTGTTACTTAATGAATGTAGACATACTCTTATGTAATGTACATAGCAGAATTATAGGAATTCACAACAAATCTATAGGATTTCCTTTTTGATTCTTTCTATAGTTAGGGCTCTATGTACTTGTATATATACTTGTTACCTCTTGACATAATATACATTGAAATTGCTCAATCCTCTATCTATTTTACAATACTGAAAGATATCTGTTAGATGTTTTTGTCTAAATTGGACTCAATCCATGAACCAATCCCAGTTAAGTATGCATTAGGGAGAATAAACAAGTAACACACAGCCATTCGGATATACTAGTTTTTACTTGCTGTCAAAATGGTATCTTGTCATCAATGAAACAATATATTGTAAGTGAAAACATTAAATTCATAACAGACTCAACAGTATCCCATAGCAACAAGCAGTGACATGCACCATAATGCACTTTCCTAGTCGAGCCAACTTCCTCGTACTAATATTTGAGGGCAAATTTCCTCATTTTAACAAGCATTTTTACATGAGACCTGATATGTATTCCATTGTATACAATATGACAAGTTCCTTAGCTGATGATCAGTGGCAGGCAAAAGAGGTCAGCAATACGTGAGACAAGATGTGTATTCCGTTGTACACAATATGATAAGTTACACAGCCGGTGATCAGTGGCAGAAAAAAAGATCCAGCAATATAAGATGTTACATCGCTACTGCCACGAATATCTGTGTCACATTTAAGATGCAAGCCCTTATTCATACAGTAGGTAAAATAAGTAAAAGGGAATACGTGTGGACTTGGTCTAAGCACAAGCTTCATGAATTACAAATGCTTTATGACCTTCTGCAGTTTGGACGTTGTACTATAAGTTTTGTAATATAAGATTCACATACACTAAATTCCAGGATCTTCACAGACTAAGAACTTAAGCATATTAGTATGTTCAAACAGATAATAGAAAGGCAACAAGTTAAAGGTAAAGTAACACACCAGGGTCTTTCTTGACTCCAGGTAGGGCAATACGAAAATAGTACGCAGATTCGCTAACACCAATATCAACCACTCCAACAGGTGGTCCAGTTGCCCCTTTGCATGCTGTTCCAGTCAAGACAATAGGGACCCCCGAGTTACATTCTTCCAAGTTGGGAAGAGGGAGAAGGGACATCATGTACTGCCTGTCTAAATCACTGGTCATTGGATCGGAATGGGCCCTCTTTTTCACATTACCTTCCATCTTTATCAATGACATACCATTTTCAGCAGAGTCTTCCCCATTCGGTTTCTCCTTGGACCGCTTCCAAATAATTCTCTTAACCTTCTTTTCAGGATGTAAGCATTCCATGTCTGATATTACTAACTTTCTGTGTTCACAATGTCTTCACCAAAAGCATACCATAAGGCATTCAACAGTTATCCGCCTTCCAAACTAATTCTGCCAACAATAAAAGCGAAGAAGAACTACTAAAAAATTAGATATGGAAAAAGAAAGAACCTTAGGGCATGAAAAATACTTCAGGAGAAATACCATAATCTGCAATTTATTGGTCATATCCTATATAAACAAGAATGCAGGGTAAGGCTGCGTACAATAGACCCCCGTGGTCCGGCCCTTCCCCGGACCCCGTGCATAGCGGGAGCTTAGTGTACCGGGCTGCCCATCCTATATAAACAAGTCTACTGCAGAATGTGAAAGTAACAAGGAGAACTGCTCGTAGTATCTATAGTACAGTTAATACCCACAGTTAAGAGGTCGATAAAAGAGAGATGAAGAGAGATTAAAGATGCGTTTAACAGGAACTGAATGGAGCCTAAGCAAGCTATTCGGCGTAAAGCACTAACCAGCCCCCAGGATCAACAAATGTCCTGCAAGCCATTATATCCTGGTCTATACATATGACACCAGCATATTTGGAGAGGTTAGGTTTACTAGCACTAATATCATAGGAAACCACAAATCAGGTGTAGCGTGTTAAAATAGAGAAGCAGATGATCTGGTTACATCATTTGATTGTGACGTTAACAAAAATACCTCTCATCAACTAGCCATTGTTGCACATCATCCCCTACTTCTGGAAGCTATGTTCATATTACCCTATCCATCAACCAACTTCTCGATTGCATTCAAGGGACCACATTCGGCCTAAGATATGAAATGCCTAAATATATTTCACCAACATAATGTACATAATAAAGTTATAAGAAAAAAAAGTAGAAAAAGAGAAGACTTCAAGTTTGTTGTTCACATTATAACAGGTATTACTATTATCTATCTTTCCAAACTAGTGTTGGTCACAACATGGTATTTCCTTCACTTGATTGCTAGCATAATTAGCTCAGTTCGTAGTGAACAACTACAAATGCGAAGGGTGATCCACATTTGGAGAAAAGTTAAGAAGATTATGATTTGCCTTCACCCTGGCTGCTTGGAAAAGCTTCATTGGCTTTTCAAATTAAGTTTAACTTGATAATTAAACTTCTATACCTTCTTTTGAGAATTTTAAAACGAGAAAGAACATAAATTGCATTCAACCAGTTAAACAGAATTCAACTATTAAATTAACTAAACACAAGCAAAATTCTGCAAGACTAGAGCTGCTTACAGAAATATATATATAATACAAAACAAAAAAAAGGAGAAAGAAAAGCAAAGATATAAACCAAATTGCAATACAAATTCTAAGCAAAATAGCAAGCGCTAAGCACTATCCTTTAATAATATTGAGCACAAACTAAAGCTTCAAACTTTATTCTGCAACAACCCAGTTTCATGCAATGGCCAATTGAGTTCTCGTAATTTCAGACCGATCAAGTAAGAGGAATATACCTAAGGAAACAGCAAATTGGACCAACCAAGAAGAACTAGATTCCTCTTCAGTCTTCAGAAACTCAGCGCTTTACCCATAATCCCTTTTCTTTTCTTGCATTGGCTCTTTTTAATCTTTCATCTTCTGATATTCTCAAAGCTATGGAATGTGAGAGACAAAGGAAGTACGTGTCAATCGGAGAAACAGCCCGCAACCGCAAACATTTACTTAATTGCTATTAGCGCATGAAAAATAAAAAAGAAAAGATACTAGCGAGCATAAACCGATCGATTTATAAGTCGATTCAGTAATTGTTAGTAAGTCAGCTATTTAGTAATTACCATGTATGAGCCAGATTTACTAACTGCGACGTATAAGTCGCATTTACGAATTGACATTTATACTAATCATGATTATAAGTAACATTCAGCTATTGACATAAGCCACATTTACCTATTGCAATTCTAAGTCGCATTAATAGCAATTTATAAGTCCCATTTACCTATTGTAATTTATAAGTGGCATTTCTCAAAATCATTTTTGTATCCTAAATTACGTTTTGCATAATTTTTATATTCCATTAAAGACAACACACACCATATATATATAGGTTGTTAGTTCAATGTTGTACTACCCATCTTAATTAAAGCGACTAAAATAAATAATAGTTAACAAACCAAAAAAATGAGCATAAATAACAACATTTTTATAACTATAAAGCGACATACTCTTGGATAAGTGTAGCTACCCGGTTGTTATTGCCAGCTTATTTTTATTCTTATATTAACTAATCAAACTATTTCTCTTAACTATTTACTACAAAACATTAAGAGGGTGATAGATTGTAATATCCGTATAGGTGTAGTTTGTTTTTAAATATTTGAGCAGCACTTCCCTTATGCTTTAATTTTTTAGGTTAATTAAATTAGGTCCAATCTTGGTTCAATCATGGCTTGTTGCTTGATAAATATAATAGAAAGTACAAGGACGAAAAGGTTATGAGAAACGCAAAATTGGTTTCTTTTCCAGGAGAGTGAAGCAAATCTAACTCTTCACCATATTAACCCATTTCTACACATCCTTGTTGCACGAAAGATAATTCGCACTCAAGATTAATTAATGTGAAGTATCAGATTGCACTTTCCTTGTTTGTATTTGTCAACTACTATGTACTTAAACACAAGTTCAATCCAACTAAGCCATATGTTATGCTAATTAATATTCATTGAATTGTTTCTTCTTAATTGTCATCCAAGTTTCCATTTGAACTAAGCCATATATGATTATAAATTAAAGTTTACAAATTACAATTATGGTTCTTAAAAGTTGTTAAACGAAGTCATGTGGGACCAATGTGTTATTTTTAAGATTGCTTGACCATAAAAACGATATTGAAAGGAAGGCAAATGAAGAGACAAGAAATTAAACCTTAGTTCAATTGAAAACGTATTTCAGCAACTAGAAGGGCCATATGAACAAAGCAAATGTTGAAATTCCCGAGGATATGGAATGTGATCAAGAAAGGAGAAAAAACAACAAAGCTCATTGACCAAAAGAAGTGAATTTTAAAACAAAAAACCCAGAGATCAAGATTGGATTCCTATATACTACGTAGTATATAATTCCAAGCAATCCCCACACATTTACTTGACATTGAAAGACACAATGGGATCTTCCATTTCCCTGCACATATAGCTTTTCTCACGTCCCCTTATGTCCAAACATGACCACTGGACATATATATCTTTTCAAAATCAGATGTTTAAGGTAGAGCAATCACATGTTTTAAATTAAATTGAGCTTTCGAAACTATGAACATGAATACCTCGGATGTTCCAATATCGCATTCTCAGATGTTTCGACTCTTTACTTCTAAGAGTATTTCTATTCTGTTTTTGTTTTTTAAAATAATTCTATTCTGTCATTTCAGCTAGTGCTAAAATAAGAAAAAAGAACCAACATAGTTTACAAAATTAATCTGACTATACAATAGAGGCGAATAAATCATATACGCAATTGGATATACGTAAATTTATTGTTTAGTAATTTGAACTAAAGTTGTGTATAATAATATGCATAAAAAGAAACACCGCTGCTAAGGAATATAAACTTGTCTCTTGTAGTTTATTTCGGTAGACCGGCTTGGTAGCTTTCATTTCCTCTTTTTTATTCTCCCCACAAAGAGAAATCACAGGTTAATTAAGAAAGATACTAACGCATGTTTCGTTTTCTTCGGTTCTATTATTTGTAAATCGTTGTTACTATTTCTCTTTTTGTAACTGTTTGTCATTATTGTTATGATTATATTTTTTTGAGTTAAGGATATACCGAAAAAAAGATTTGCATATATATTATTCTCCTAGTATCCTACTTGCAAAAATACATATGTTTTTGTAACTCACATAGCAAATTTTAAAGTCAAATTAACCAAAAGAGAGAGATTTTGTAGACAGAGGAAAAGATAAGTTGGACTCGTCAAAGGCCAATCATTGGGAATGCTTCTTAACGCCCACATTACTTTATTGTAGGCAGAGGGGAGCTTTAAACTTCGAGCTTTTACTGCATGTCATTTAATTTGTCGTATAGTATACTGTACAAATAACAGTAGTAAAACCTGGATCTCGATTATACCAACTATATCACATTTCTTGTTTCTTGGTTTTCCTTGTTTGAATCCTCTTTAACTTGCAATCTACTGATCCTTTATTTTGATAAAGCAAAGCAAAGAAAGCAGATCATTCCCATCACCAAGATTCACTTTGCTCTATGTTTATTCCCTTCCCCCAACTTTTTCTTTCTTCCTATTATTCACACATATATATAAGTTGCTTCTTGCAATGTCTTTTATCCATTATTATTCCTTTTACCATTTTCTAGCATACATATTCCTCATTGTGTCATCAATATATATCATCCTTTAATTTCCTCTTTGTTACTTGTCTGTCCATTTATTTGCTTAATTAGCCACTCGATCGGTCCATCACCCCCCATACCATGAACATGGAGGTTTGTACACTAACATATCTTTTTCTCCTTTCTTTAGTCATAATAAAAGTTTTCTATATGATAAAATACTGGTTTGAGATGAACTTATAAATATGGATTGATTAACTTGTTTGGAATTTATACGTATATAGTTATGTATTGTTGTGTGTTTGATTATTTCTTGATAACAACAGTCAATACGTGTCATTTTATAATCATAAATTGTTCTCTTATTTTTCTCCACCTGTAAAAATTGATCTAGCTAGTTTTTCATTCGTAGCTATAATAAACTAGTTAGTTTGCAGGAATATCTGATGTTTTTTTTTTCCCTTTTTGGCAGACAGTTGAATTGAAAGTAGAGATGGTTGGAATACATGAGAAAAGACTGCGCAAATGCCTGTCAAAATTAAGAGGTAATTAATCATTAATTATTCACTTCATTAATTTCTCTCTATATAAGGCAATTGAAATTGATATCTTAGTGGGGAAAAAATTCAGGAATAGAGAAAGTAGAAGTGGATGGGAACAGTCAAAAAGTGGTGGTGATAGGCTATGCTCACAAGAACAAAATACTAAAAGCAATAAGACGAGGTGGTCTTAAAGCAGATTTCTGGTCTGCTCAAAATGAGCTTCTTCAAGCTTACGCTGCTTCTGCTTCTTACTCTTCTTTCAGATTTAACAATTTTTCCTTCTACTAGCTTATGTTGCTCGTACTCTTCAAAAATATTATAGAATGTAACATGTCAAATCCTCCGAATGAAACATTTACACAATGTTGCTCGGACTCTTAAAAAATGTTGAATATATAGCGTAACATATCCGAACCTCCAAATATATTTTTTGAGGATTCGACAGAATACGACAATATTTTTGGAGAGTTCTAGCAACATAACAGTTGAATATTGTCTTGTTCTTGAGTACTTACCATTTTGTTCTTTCTTTTTTATGTTCTTTTTCTGCCACTTGGAAGCAGTGTATACAAAAAACAATGAAATGGAAGAGTTTTGAATTTCTTTTGATACACCTTGTTGCTTAATTTATCTCCAGATTTATGACTTATGAGCAATGATGGAACAGTCAAAGTATTTTATGTAATGGTCAAGTATTCGTCTTTGGATTGCATTTAAGCAATAATATGTACTTCGTTTCTTTGTATAAAAGTAAAAAAATAATAAATAAATAAAAGAATATCTCGGGCCATCAGAAAATAAAGAAAAAAGAATAGGAAATAACCCCATGCAATATAAAGTGACTAACGTCATGTGTTGCAGGTGTGCATCACGTCAATCATTATTAAACGTATACAAGAAGAAAAAATTGTTGAAAAATAGCAATTGAAGTTAAAATAAATGCAATATATGTTTAAATAATAAAAATTAATTTACATTGACACAATAGTTAAACTCAATATGTTTTGAAATATGCAAAGATGATGCATTTAGTTGGATTAGTTATATAGTATTTGTAATTATAAATAATTTATTATATCAAAAATAAATATCTTATGTTGTTGTATTCACCTAACATCTCTTCATAAATGCTACATTATAATGTTATTATATAACAATATAATTAATTTCTTATTAATTTAAAAAGGAAGTAATGAATATAAGAAAATAATGAAGATTTTAATATTAATTGTAAATTTTGGACAATCGATCTTTTTAATAGAACTAGTTTTAGTGTACGTGCTTTGCATGTATTTTTTTTGTGTATCAAAAAATGTATGAAATGTAGAATACAAATAAATTATACTCATATGTAACATCAATTGACATCAAGATAAATACAACATTTCTTTAAATTCAAAATAAATATTTTAGGGTGTCAATATTTTTACTTAAGCAGTCATATTTATCTAATATTATAGATAGATGTATCATATAAATGTCTTAAAATATTTTTAAAACTTAAACTTATTAACGGGATCTGATTGAAGAATCCAAATCCATTTTAAACGAGACAAACATAAAAGGAGGAAAGACTGTTCAATAAATAAAATTGCAGAAAGATTTTCCTTTGAACTATTTGAAAGTTATCCAACTTGAGTTATGAGAGTACGAAGTGTATGGCTAACCCAATAACGAAAGTTTCGTAAGGGGACTAGAGCAGGCTACCATGAGACAAAAGATCGTCTTTCTAAAGAGATTCGATTCGGAACTCTTATACGTCCAAGGTTCAATGGAGGACGGTTTATTTTCAAACATATTCTTTTCTCGATGCCTATACACCTTGCAGGGATTCCAATTTCAAAGGGAGTTCTTGACCAGTTGAAAAAATGTTAGATTTTTATGCACGTACATTGCATCGTATTTGTGCTATTACAAGATTCAAAAGTAAAATATTAATTGAAAGATATATATACCATATTTTAAAAGAGAAATTTTTCTTATATTTTTTAATAAATAAAATCATCTTGTAATCTAAAGTTTAAGTAAGATAGAAGCATATAAAAGACAATAAATTATATTTGAAATTTTTTTAGGAGCGAACTCACGACAACTTTTACGAAGGAGCAATGGCGGTTTGTTTCTTTGATATACTTAGAAGTCTTATACAATATTTTCTTAAAAACAGTTCTTAATATGTGTTTTTGAAAATATACAATTATATGTTGTACATAGAAGATAAGTAAGACTAAATTATGTAAAGAAAAAATAATTTAATTTTGATATTTAGAGGCAAATTCACGGCATAAAAATCTATAAGGAAATAAAGAAGATATGTTTGGAGGCTAGCATCCTTCTGTTTATTTTGGATAATTTTGAGAGAGGTGAGGAATATTCAAGAACTTTATTTGTAGTTTTATCTAGAATTAGGCTCTGATTTAGACTATATTTATATTTTGTACACAGTTAATCACTTGAAATACCATATAAGTCCAAAAACTAAAGAGAAGAAATTTAGATTGACTTACAAATTTAATAAGTTTTATTATTTGTTGACTTCAAATTTTTAAATATTAGGGAAAGTTCTACAAACTACTACCACTTTATTCGACTTAATTTATTTTTTAGAAAATTAATTTACTATTTTAACGTAAAATATAAACACAATCCCACAAGATATTATGAAATGAGGTACTTTCCACAAAATTTTAGCTTTTATTCCTTCTATCTTGAAGCATTTACAATATTGATGAAGAACCGTTAATTTTTATCTTTTTAAACCTTTTTTGTTAATTGAGAAGTAAAAGTAGCACGACTCTGCCCGTTGGAATAAACTTAAAATTTTCAAAATAAGAAAAGTCATTATGTTAAATACGAAAATAATTTATATAGTTTCTTACATAATTCAAATAATAAAATTTGTATAAGTAAACTTTTATTTAATTTTAAATTCTTAAATATTAGAAGTTTTTATATAGTTCAAATAAGAAATTATTTAATAATTAAATTTTTTAGTTGATTTCTAAGTTTTTAATATTAGAATAATAATAATAATATGATTTTGTCTAAAGAAAAACTATTTTTAAAGGATAATATGTATTGTGATAGCATTCATGTACAAGGAAAAATAGTCTTTTTATTATTTATAAAATTCAAATAGCTATGAAAAACTTGAAAGAAGCAATTTCTCATAAGCAACGCCATGCACGCATTGTACAATGAAATAAGAATTTTATTTATTAATTGAAAAAGGTCATAGAATTTAAGAAACCTCATAAAATTTAGGAGAGTAAAAGTGAAACATTCATAGTTGAATTCAAAAATCAACATATTAGCTCATTCTAAACTGAAAAAATTAATTGTAAGTGATTGATGGCAATTATCAATATATCCAATATGGAATGTAACTTTATGCTAATATATTTATTGTTTAAAATCAAATTTAGTCTAAAAATGATTAATTAACTCTAGTGGCGAAAATAAAATACTAAAAGTTTGAAGAACCAAATCCTCCCACTGCATATTCCTATCGTATCTAGTAAAGTAGAGTCCTCTTTTAATTAATTTTAAGGTTAAATATCTATAGAAAACTTTAAAAGAAGCAATATTATCACTACATTCCTAGCGCATACCATAAAGTTTCCATAAATTGATATAATAATGGAATTTTCCTTTGTCACAAATTAATGTGATTTTCTTTGTTATTTTTTTTTACAAATTTATTATATTACATAGCTCAAATAAGGAAGATTTAATATAAAAAATTTAGTTGATTTTGAAATCCTAAATATTAGGAAAATAATTTATATCTATATTTCTAAATATTAAGAAAATAATTAAAAGACTATTTTGTCTAGTATGAAATCAATCTATCAAGGGTAAAAAAAAAGACGAACGACATTTCGCCAAGGCCTTCGTGCTTTTAATATAAGATAGATTAAGAGCGCACTCTTTCAGTTAATATAAAACAGAGTATAAAAACGTTATGCTAGTTACAATCATGTAATGAATCAATTAGTTTTTTGCTTTTCTGGAAAATAATATTTAATTTTAATTTATCATGATTTTAAAATAGATATTTTATGTAGAGAATGAAGTTAAGCTGTTTCTATAATAAAAGAGTTTAAAAGTTTTAAAAAGTGCCATGCTCTTTACTTTCATTCCTTGTCCTTTTCTCGGATTGATTTCACTCATATTTTATCGATGATAAATATTTTGTGTTGGTGTTTTACACTTCTGTAATAGTATATATAAATAAATATTATTTCTGAAACTTTTAGTTTTAAATTATCTCAAATTTTGAATATTGAAGTGTATTTATATTTTTGTGAAATAAAACTTTAATTTTCAATATGTGTTCAAATAAAAAATTATATAAGATGAAATATAAGATTCAACATATTTGTTCAAATAATAATAAGCAAGTTGTAATTTTAGCTAAGAAAAACTTTATTTTTAAAGTGTTTAAATAAGAAAAGAATTTATAAAAATAAAATTTAAGTGATTTTAAAATCATATACGTTAGGAATTCTTGCATATAATTTAAATAAGAAACAATTTACTAAGCTATATTTTATTTTTATTTTAAATTCTTAAAGATTAAAAAAATAATTAAACACTATTTTTTCGACGCGTATACCCTTTATCGACGCATATAAAATCATAAAACACATAAGCCCTTCAAGATATAAAATTTTAAAAATATAAGCTCTTGAAAATGATATGCATAAAAACAACCAATATAATTTTGAATGTTTAATGTTCTATTATTGTCACGACCCAAAAATCACACTTGTCTTGATGACGCCTATCTTAATACTAGGTAAGCCGACAACCTCAGTAAATCACGATTTTCTTTAAGTTTGAAACATAATAATTAAATACAACACAAAAGAAATCTCGCAAATACCGATACAAACACTCCCAAAACCCGATGTCACTGAGTATATGAGCATCTAAATGATAACAATGTCTGACTGATAAAACACTGTCTGAAAATATATAACAGTACAAAAACTAAAAGGAAAGAGAGTCAAGGTTTGCGGACGTCAAGCAATTACCTCAATAGTCTCCAACGGATAAGCTTCGAAAAACTAGCAACCTCTATGTCCGGACGTACCTGGATCTGCACACAAGGTGCATGATATAGTATGAGTACAACCAACTCAGCAAGTAGCAATACTAAATAAAGAGCTGAAGATAATGACGAGTTTCACGGCTAAGTCCAATTACAGTAATTTCCAACATAAGAAGATATGCATGCTTTCAAGTTCAACATTTAAAACTCAACAGTAATTTCATATCAAGTTCGACTGAAAAATGAGATAATATCTTTCAGAAATTTCCACAACAGTGATATATGACAGCTAAAGTGTAACGACAATGAAACCAATGCATCCTCTCAGAGCAACAGTCACCCAATCTTTCTATTCACTCCAACCTCACAATCACTCTTTCCTCACAGTCACTCATTCCTCTCAATCACTCGGCACTTGCACTCAGTAGGTACCTGCTCTCACTAGGTATGTGTACAGACTCCGGAGGGGATCCTTTAGCCCAAGCGCAATAACAAGCCATT